TCAACCCCAAATAAAATGAGATCATCCACTATGCAATTTAATTTTGATTTGAAATTTTGCCAAAAGAATTTCTTTCCCCAATTAACCAACATCAAAATACCGTAATATTATACAAGTGCATTCTATATTTATCCAGATTTCAACAAAAGCGGCGAAAGAAAAAAATCTATTAAATACTTAATGAATCTCGGATTCTTTAAGTCCATTGAAAACAAGTCGGTGGCTAACCAAAAAAACGTCGGGGGATTTAAATGAAGGCTGTCAAATCTAAACCAAACCAATTTGATTGATCGAGGTTACTACACATTTCGTGTTTTTCCAGTACGAAATCAAATCAATCTTAAAATCAGTTTAAGTTTTTGACACATTTAAAAACTAGCATAATGTTTTATATTGGTAGCAGCAATAAACACATACCCATGTACAGGAACATTTTTTTTAAATTTAAAATCTACAAAATATGATAAAAATAACTTGCGTATATCCTAAATATAAAGTTAAAAATTTATTCTTTTTTATTGAATTTTATAAAGGAAACAGAATATTAATCGATTTCTCCTGATCTAATGATAATATTAAACCAGTAATACAGCTTTCTTCATCCGTGTAAGAGTGTAAAGATAAGTTCCTTGTTACAAGTCTATTAACACAGGACCCTTGAAAATAAATTGTACCAAATTCTTTATTACAAATAACAAAATTAATTTTTTTTTTTTTTAGAAAAATCGTTTTTAGTCATCAATCCTTAATGGTTTGCCGGCGCTTGTTAAATGGCCTAGTGGATGATCTCATTTTATTTGGGGTTGAATTTGATATTATACTCAAGGCTTGTTACGATAACGTCCGAGAGAGTTTTGGTCTGACGTAATAATCTCTTTCGGGTGTTACATGTATCATATTGGTAATATATTCTCTATGCTCTTCCTTTCGACTGACAACAGACCCCCTTGCTTGTCGTAAAAGGCGACTTGGGGCGGTCCTTCGGTATAGATCCCTCCATGCTCAATGGCCCTGAGAGCCGAGCATAATTTACCGGCGTTCCCTTTTCTATATGTACAAAATATACTTTAACTGAACCTTCCCATATGTCAGGTGGCATAGCTATATATATGGCTCTGTGTGTAACTGATTTTTAAACTGAATTAAACCAAAACTTTGGAAAAATAGGCAACTATCTAATCTTTCACTTTAACAAACGTTACTATTCATCATCCCCTGTGGTGCCTCAAACGCAGCTACATTCCTCATGTTACTTGAATTAATGCTGAAAGGTTTATTTAAGGAATCACTGTCTAGTTAGTATAGTATGCCAGGGCAACTACGATAGAGGGAAACATGGGATAATTTGCATAACGGGAGAACGAGAGGTGCCAAGGAACTCGTCAGCAGTGAGGGATTTTCGTATACCGTAAAGGTCAATTTATATTTTAAAAAAAACATGAAACGATCAGATATGTTTTAACTTTGGATATTTTGTATTTATTTATCTGTGACATATCACAAATGTAACCTTCTTCAAGAATCCATAAGAATTTAAATATCCTTAATATTTCTTTCAGACTGCTGGTCCGCGTACAACTTTGTGTAGATTCAGTATAACGAGGAAAGACATGATGTGGAGCTGTTGTATCCCAGAGGGGAAATAAGTTCGTTTGCAGTTCCGTTGACCACATTCATCCACCAGAACTGGGTCTGCTAAACCGTATGGTCATTGAAGCAAATGTTCAGATTTTTAAATAATTAACAAATTTACCTTAAAAGATGTTTTTTTATAATTGTGTACATATATAGTATAATAAAAATATTTTTTTTATATAAATTTATAACATATACGACAATTTATTAAAAAATAAAAATTACTTATTATTATATTAAATTTTTCAGGTTCGCGTCGAAACATTTCAGCATTCCAATAGAGTCACTGGGGACATTGTTGAGGATGCTTTTGCTGCCACCAATGAGAATGACTTCAATCTGCCAAATCAACAATACCTACAAAGAGCCGCCAACCGAATCAGACAGAAGCTGAGACCAGTCGAGCCCAAGGATCTTACTTTTGACGTATATTCAATTTCTTAATAAACAAAGTTTAAAAAAAAAATAAGCTAATGTATGTTATTATTTGTTTTATATTTGATTATACATTATATTATATGAGGGGGCTATTTTGCAAGTCCACCTTGATTCATGCAACAAGGTTTGAAAAATATATGTGCTAATGTCTTGTTATTATTTGTTTTATATTTGATTATATATTATATGATTTGAGGGAGCTATTTTCTACTGTGATTTATGCAAGCTATTTTATTTTCAAATAATTCATTCTTTTTTTTTTCAGATTGACCTACAGTTCCAAAGGGTGATGTGAGAGTTTACAATGAGAGACACATCCTTTTTGCTACTGCCCTCCAGATAGAGCTGTTGCAAATAAATGGTATTTAGATAGGGCTTTCAAGACCATTCGTCAACTATTTGAACAGCTGTTTTCCATCAATGGTTCATCCAAAAGGACCAATGTGTAAAGCAGGTCCCACTCATGTTCATTCTTATGCCAAGACGCCGAGATATACAATGTAGACTACTTAGCAGTAAGAGATTAATGAGAGTGTATTAATTAGTTCTGAAACATTTTGTATAATTTATATATATATATATATACATGTATATATTTATATTATATAGCTCTTAATTTACATATAAATATAATCCTTTATATATCATATAAAATATATTTAAATTTATATTAAATATAATATTAAAATATTATAACTGAAAAATTACAGGATAGGTCAATTATAAGATTCCACAAGGCAGATAAAGGACAATACATTCCGTGATGATACGTAATATATAATTAAATCTTTTACAGGTGTTCCGTACGATTAGGGAGTTGTTGGTCTTATCTTGCATTGGAAGGATTCGTTATGGATTTTGAAAGAGGTATTTTTAAAAAAAAATAAAAAAAGATAGCTGAGTTTATTTTAAGAATTTTTCTCAAGAAAAAAAAAACAACAGGAAAAACAAGAAATCTGTGAGCCAATGCTCACTAGTAATACCCTCGCTCTGATGTGAATAAGCACTATCATGTTAATATACACAAGTTCAATTACAGACAGATACACAGAAAAATATGAAATGAACATTAAATTCATATCAAAATTAATCCAACCATATGGCATGCCTCAACAAAGAGTGTAATAAAATTTCAAGCATCTGCTATGAATAGCTAATGAGAAAACTGCGACGAAAATTTGTTATGTATGAAACGGACAGACGCACAGACAAACAGGAAGTTGACATCGATTTTAAGTAAAAATGTATCCCACCATGTGGAATGCCTCAGAGAAGATTGTGTTAAAATTTCATGCATCTACGATGAGTAGTTGCTGAGAAAACTGCGACGAAAAAGTGTTATGTATGAAACAGACAGACGCATAGACAAACAGGAAGTTGGCATCGGATTTGAGTAAAAATGTATCCCATTTAATGGCATGCCTCGGAGAAGATTGTGTTAAAATTTCATGCATCTACGATGAGTAGTTGCTGAGAAAACTGCGAAGAAATTTGTTATGTATGAAACGGTCAGACGCACAGACAAACAGGAAGTTGACATCGGATTCGAGCAAAAATGTATCCCATTATATGGCATGCCTCAGAGAAGATTGTGTTAAAATTTCAAGCATCTACGATGAGTAGTTGCTGAGAAAACTGCGACGAAAATTTGTTACAGACGGACAAACACACAGAGAGACAGACAGACACACAAGGGTAAAACAGTATACCCCCCTCTCCTTCGGAGCGGGGGTATAATAAAGGATAACTGAAATGTTAACAAGTATTCGAATGAACCTTATATGCACATACATAATAAAACAGGGAAAAAATAGGCTAATGTCATAAAATAAAAAAAAAAAATCAGCCACATGTATGTAGCTGCCCAAGAGGTTTTCCCTGCAGCACGAATTCAGGGATGCTCCTTCCACTGGAGACAGACACTGATGGGGAAGTTCAAACCTAAGAAGGAAAACCTGTCAACTTTAACCTAGCCCATTACTACTGCGCTGTCAATGACACAGGTAAACATATACAACTTCAGTCTACGTCCCACTCCAAAATTGTGTTACCATCGGGGGCAGAGTGTATGACAAATAACATCTTGTTTGGTTTTTAAGGTTTCACCTAAGTTCAATATGCCCAATTGTTTTACAATAGCTCCAAAAGTATATCATTAATTAACAGATAGAAAGTATCACTTGATAACAAATACTTATATAAATTTTAATAGAGGAAAAAAATCTTTTTAAAAAAGCATATACTTTTACAAAATACACCCGAGTACATTCGAACTTTTAGTGAAATTCATCATTGCAGATACAAAGCACGTTTATCAATAAACGGCAAGTAGGACTTCAATAGCCTCTGGATAGTTGTTTTTCCTGTTTATTTTGTCAAAATTGTAATACTTGAAACAGAAAGTACAATGCAAATGGCGGATTTTATAGGGGTCTTGCCTATGTACATATTATGCTTTCAGTAACATCTATTCAGAGACCATTCAGGTCCAAGTTGCCCTTTATTGATAAACATATTTTTACTACAATGATGGTTTTTCAAAAAAAAAATGCATATATATTTTTAGATATTTCTTTTCCAATGATACTTTCTATCTGTTAATCAATGATATATTCAAACACTGTTAAAGTTTTAATTTTATACCTCACATAGGTTTGGAGAAAATATATGTTTGGATATCCTGACCTTTGGTGAAACCTTAATCAGTTTTCAATTACTTTTTTTTGACGTTCTTAAGTTTAAATGTAAAACGCAGTTAATACTAGTATTAATTAGACCACGTGAAATAAAAAAAGTAGTTGAATGATCAAAGTTAACAAAATTGATGTTTCAAATTTACATGTTTACCATATGAGTTCAAGTAAGTGTATAAATAGCTGTTTAAGATTAAATGTAGATTTTTCTCGGCAATTGATTCTTAGAACAAAAATGGAAAAGGGATTTGTTACTCTGCTTCTGTTTGCACAAGTAAGTATCATGATACGGACAAGTAAATTATCTTTAGTCATCAGATAAATATCTTCTCGGATAATTTGTATAGAAAATTCTGTTTAATTTTTGTCAAATTGAAACTTTACATCAGGAAACAAGATTAAGAGTCGGATCAATTTTACCTGTTTTTAAAGATTTTCCATTTATTAATTAATACGTATCATAGAAAATAGTTCTCTCCTATAAGTCATTTGTTTGTCACGATGATTATGTCCTTTTTTTAGTTAAACTATCAAAAAACAAGATGTGTTTGAGAAACACTATGCGCCCGGCGAAAACAAAGTTCAAAAAACTATTTTTAGCTGATAAGTCAAATTCAAGGTCACAAGATCTTGGTGACATTTGAAAGAACTTAATTAGTGTAGTATGCAAACCAAATAGGTCACAGTCACGGTTACAAGGTCATTGGCCTTGGTGTCATTTGAAAGAATTTAATCGGTGGAGTATGCATATTAAATATGAAGTCTCTATCTCTCACGGTTCAAAAGTTATGGAGAAAGTTCGAAAAAGATATTTTTTAGCATATAGGTCACATGGTCATTGACCTTGGTGTCATTTGAAAGAACTTTATTGGTGGGGTATGCATACCAAAAATGAAGTTTCTATCTCTCATGGTTCAAAAGTTAACGTGAGATATCCAAAAAGCTATTTTTAGCATATAGGTCACAGTCAAGGTCACAAAGTCATTGACCTTGGTGTCATTTGCAAGAGCTTCTTTGGTGGTGTATGTATACCAAATATGAAGTCCCTATCTCTCATGGTTCAAAAGTTTTGTTGAAGGTTAAAGTTGACAACAGACAGACAGACAAACAGACAGGAAAAAAACAATATCTAAAGATCCGAGCGCATAATAAATAAAAACTTTTAAGCATGATAAGCAGATAACCCTTTATCCTTGTCTAATCTAGTAAAATTCTTTTTTTCTTTTTAATTGACAGTCGTGCGCGCAGTTTATGCCCAATCAGATTGAACTACCAGGATTTCCTCGCTCACCAATCCGTTTGCCTTTTCCTTTTCCTAACATTCCAACAAAGTCAGGAAAATGTCCGGAATATAACGTAATTGCTCGGTGTGAATGTACCAGGCAGGATGTGCGTTGTGTGGTGGACCGCAGTTGTCCGGGAGGTATTAAAAGAAATGTACTTATGATCATTTTAAGGAATTTACATTTTGAACTGTTGTGGAAGTGAATATGGTCACCGCTCAATGGCCCTGAGTTCCGAGTATAGGACAAAAATTTGCAGCTTTCCACCGGCAAGTGGTTGTGTCTCCATTTGATTGAAAACTTCTCGAGAGGGACGTTTAGCAACATGCAAACAAACAATCAATCTTTATTGTCTATATACTTTTCAGGCAGAATTTTTTTTCAAAAAGGCTAAACTGTATATAAAATGATATAAACAAGCGATCAAAAGTGGGGGAAGGCAGCAGTCTCTTTCAAAGTTTTCGGTGTAAAAATTCTATGGTCGATATAATAACCTTGTCGGCAAGTACAATCTATCATTAAGTCAATAGGTCGGTTGCGGATGCTTACTCCTCCATAGCACCGGATCCAACCTTTGATGTTTAAATTACCTGCGTTTGCTCTGCTCTACAATGTGCACTACTAAATGGAAATTTGAGCTTGAATACTGTTTGTTATCTCAAATAAATTTCATTCGAATGAATTTTAATGATTGTCTTTTTGTGCAGATCAAAAATGTTGTTCGATTGGATGTGCCTGTAGAAAAGAGTGTGTGTCACCAGTAGTGGAACAAAGGAAAGGTAACAATTTATTTATATTAGTTGGAATTTTCAAATATGAAATGGTTTTTAGCATAGCTTACCTTATAGCAAGGGAAATACTTCCTACTCCTCGTTTTAGATAATTAAAATATCAAAGAATGTAATGATTTACTAGATATAAATACAAAAGAGAAAGATAAAACGGACATTGTGATACTCGATAAATTAATAAAATTTTACGTTATCTATCTTTCCGAACAATTAAGCGTTTAAAGACTTTAAAAAAAATATTTCCAGAAACCAAAATAAAGGGTACACACAGAAGTAAATGCTAGGCATTGCAAAGTTATTTTTTTCCATTTTCCATTTAGGATGCAGACACAATGGTAGATTTTACAACGTAGGAGAAACCTTTTTGGACATTGACGGTTGTAGTAGATGTACCTGTGGTATCACGGGCAGTATAGGATGTTTACAGAAAACATGTGTTGAACGTAAGTGTAATATATAGAATAATCCAATACGTATCAAAACAATTGTAGAGGAGAATTTTTTGATAATCTATTATTTATTAAAGCAACGCTCTTAAGCTAATTTAGCTACAGAACTTTAGCTATTTAGTTTTATATATTACTTTTTGAGCTCGCAATAGACTTCTAAAAAAAAACATAACGCTACAGTTCTGCAGCTGGACTAATCTATCGATTTTTAACGATACAACCCTCTTTTAACATTAAAAGAGTAACAAGGTTACAATACTAAGATTTTAAATTGGATACAGCATACAATTTACATAAAACATTTTTGGGTTATTGTACTAAATACAAATATTCAATTCAAAAAGGCATTTTTTTAAATTTTAGCTCCAGCAATAGATATCTGCTCTCTGCCAAAAGTCGTTGGTCGATGCAATGGAAGCTTTTCACGATGGTGGTACGATGAAGCTACCAATTTCTGCTTAAGTTTTACTTATAGTGGATGTCATGGAAATAAAAATAATTTCAGAACGAGGCAGGATTGTTTGAATAGCTGCAGGAAGAGAAGTAAGTTGTGCCTCGTGTACCTACATGTAACATGTCTTAACACCTCTTACGTCAATCAATGTTTGTCAGCATGTGTTTTATCACTATAACTAGTAAATGAATGAAGTAATACTGAAATTAAATTGAACTGTTATTATAATAACATTCCCCTTAAGAGATGTCATTGGTCGCTATGAAAAGTAAGAGCACCCAATGTATATTAAGAAACATTTAATGAACAACAATCAACGCATTTAACTTAACAAAGAAATTCATTCAAAACAAAATCCAAGCTATTAGGTTAATGAATCTGAAAAGACATGGGTCTCTTTCGTAGTGATTAATTAAAAAAGGTGAATGAAAAAAACACAACCTTGTTTTCTTCTCTTTCAGTTCGTCCTCCACGCCGTGGTTAATAGAGAGGATCATACCTGTCACTCAGCAGAGTAATCAATGATGCACCAAACCAGAAACGTGATGAATTATGCTTAACTGAAATGTTTTACGAGCTGTATTCACCCTATGACCTACAATTGTTTTTTACGTATTAAATACGCATAAAGACCAGTTACAAAGAATGAACTCGTTCTGTATATTTCTTTGATCCTTCGTTCTACCTTAATACCATGTTTCATTTTGCTAAGTTAAGACTTTTATGGATCAGATATTTTCTCAATACAATGTATAATCACCAAACAATATAATTTAAAAATTATTTAAAAATTCTGCAAAAGCTACAGCTATTATTATTAATATTAATTCATGAAACACACGTAAAACAGAATTCTTGTCATCCACACAGAAAAGATAAATTGATATACTGGAAATAAAAAAAATACCATTAGAGATAATGTATAATGTTTTGAGATTTAATTTCATTGTATATGTACAGGGTGCTTGTCTTAAATTATCTTTAGGCAAGTTGATTATGCCCCCTTCCTCAAAAACGATGCTAAGTCCCCGAGACAAAACTTTGTCTATTTATTTCCTCCGAAATCATCCAGGTAAATATTTTAGTGTTCTTTTGTAAATCTGAAAAGAAAAGACAAGTTGATGGAAATGCAAATATGTCACTTCAAACATTACCGAAGATGAACTAATCTGTCACACTGTTGTCATACTTTTACGTTCCTTGACTTTAAGGACTTGTAGTTGACATTTACATTCTGTCAATGATTTTTATTCCTCCCATAGAATAAGACAGATTTGTTCATGCAATGCAATTTTATGTCCATTGATCTTCTGAAAATAGAAGTGACTTCTGCTTTATCAGTGATTTGTTTTATTCTTTTTATATAAATTCGTATGAAGATACTTCCTTTCGTAAAAAAAAGAAATCGATATTGATTTTAAGTTTTGTATAAAATGTACAAATTAATTAAATGAGGCTCTTCATGCCAAAAAAACCCCCTCATTGTTTCGACCATTTTCCTCTGAGAACGAATTGTACAGGTACCTTTATAATATGACCCAGATCTTAAAACGCTTTAAAGTGGAATGCCACACCATTTTTTTTTTTATTTTATAGATCTTTGAGTCATCCTTTTTAAACAATTGTTTCGGCATTGAAAAGCCGATATCAGCTCTCAATTATTTAATATTAATTTTTTTTTTCTATTTTTTCAAAGAAAATGAAAAACAAGATGTGTTTGTGAAACATTATGCGCCCGGCGGCAACAAAGTTCAAAAATATTTTTAGCAGATTAATCACAGTCAGGGTCACAAGGCCATTGACCTTGGTGTTATTTGAAAGAGCTTAATTAGTGAAGTAAGCATACCAGATATGAAGTCTCTATCTCTCATGCTTCAAAAGTTATGGTGAAAGTTCTATAAAGCTATTTTTAACACATAGGTCAGTCAAGGTCACGACCTTGATGTCATTTGAAAGAGCTTCATTGGTGGAATATGCATACCAAATATGAAATCTCTATCTCTCATGGTTCAAAAGTTATGGCAAAGAAAGTTGACAACAGACAGACAGACAAACAGATAAACAGACAAACAGACAGGATAAAAACAATATACCGTATATCAATCTAAGTTGGAATAACTTGTGTCCAATCCCATTGATTGTGTTCAATAAAATATGTTTAAATCAAAACCGTATATCAGGTTTTTTCCGCGTCATGTTTTTTCCGCGAATCAGAACCTAAATCAGTATATTAAATTTACGCGAATCAAATTTTCACTATTTCAAAGTCCCAGTGATAATATTATTAACAATTGTTTAAGCCTATAAAGGAATTGGATGTAAATTGTAAAGTACGGGTGAGAAATAGATCTATCGACCTTCACCTCGTCAATTCCGGAAGACCCGCTCGGCTGATTATACACCTGTGTTGCGTACTAACTCTCAAATCCACTGTGCACAGATATTATTTTTTAATATAAATCATTTACTGTTCCAAACTGACTTGCAGCTTAGGTATAATTAGTTTTGATAGCTTCACGCAAGAAATGTGACCCATATAATTAGCTGGCTTGTCAATTAGTAAACAAACAATAAGGGCTTGTACCTATAAACGGTATCTTGCGCTTGTCCCCTGATCCCGCTATTCTACCGTCTACGATATAAGCATTAAGAAATAATCCTACTACAAGAAAAAACTTTGTATTAAATTTACGCTGTTTTATTTTCCGCGATTCAGAACTCGTCGCGAACAAAGCGGAAATTGGATACACGCGGAAAAATCCTGATATACGGTACGCCTCGGATCTATCGATCCGTTGTTTTTGAGTTAAAAGTTTGCTGTATATGAATGCATCATATGAATATCTGATAAAATATGTTAAGAAAGGCTGGCTAGACTTTTTAATTTAAAAAAAAAATTTATTTATGAAAATAAAACACATTATTTTTGAACATTTTTTAAAACTATGGTTAAAAACACCAAAAAACTAGTCACAACTAAGGAGACATGTTTGTCAATCACATTTTTAAAAGAAATTGAAACGAAATTGAGAAATATTAAAGAAACTAATTTTTTTTTTTATATTTGGACCTAACCCGATCAAAATTAGACTGATCCCGATCAAAATTTAACACAAAATGAATAAAATACTAATTTATTGCCTCTTCATGTATTTACAATGCAGAAATCTATTTTATTGTCAAGCTCAATAATGTTTTAACCCTTATTAACCTAATCAGACTAGTGTTCTTGGGGAAATGTTAATTATTTCCAATTATTGTACAATTATGGTTGGGATCGGTTTAATTTTGATCAGGATTGGCCAAAATTAAAAATAAAATAATTTCTTTAAAATTTGGCTATTTCGTTTCAATTTCTTTTATAAATATGATTAAAGAACATGTTCTCCCCAGTTGTGACTGCTTTAAGGAGATTTTTACCGCACGTTTAAAAATATTCACAAATTATGTGTTTTATTTTCATAAATATTTTTTTATTTAAAACTTTTTGATATCTATACGGCTTTTCTTTACATATTTTATTAGGTATTCATTTACAGCAAAAATTTTACAAAAAGCATATCGTTTTGATGTAAATATTTTTTTTTTCATTTTCTTTGAAAAAATACAAAAAAATTCATAAAAATTAATTTAGAGGAAATGTCGGTTTTTGAACCATTGTTTAAAAAGGTTCACTCGGAGGTCTATAAAATAAAATAAAAAGTTGGTGTGGTATTCCTCCTTAAATATAAAATATATATTTATAAACACGCGATGTTCTTAACAGTGAAAACAAGCAAGATTCGTGTGCATACACCATGAAGAATTGTTCATTACGTCCAATGAACCCAACAAAGATACATGTATAAACAAAAAACAACAGAACTTATTCTATGTGTAATAATGTTGCGCAAATGTTATCTCGACGCGTAGTACATTACATACATTAGGGCAAATGTACACAAGAATTGATTAACATAAACTGAAGGGGATAATTCATTCTGAAATGAAACGGACAGGCCATGGGAAGCTCCTTGCCTTGGTTGTATACCCATTGCAAAACGTGCCACTGGGATTTTTCTATATACGAGGTGCTTCAAAATATTTAAAAATGTTACTGGCGATACTATCCCTTTATCCAATGATACAGGAAAACATTCGTTTCAAAAAGAACGCGTCAGTAGAAAATATAGCAGCTGGAAAACATTATTGATAAAATAAGACTCTTTAAAAGTGCTAATGAGGCATGTGCTGGTCGTTATTTCAGTGAATGTACACCATTTGAAGCGTTCTGATGCTGCAAACATGGAGAGACTGAAAAATAGTTTCCAAAATGTACAAAACTTGTTAAATGACCTCATTGAAATTGTCAGAAAACAAGATTATTTGTCTTTTTTTCGCATAATTTCAAGGACGAAATTAGAAGGCAGGCTAGCCAAATATATCAATGAACAAATAATTGAGGAAATGGTGTTAATCACAAGCGAGGTAATTAGACATTGAATCAATAGAAAATGTAAAAGATATTGTGTCATCCCACTCGAGAAATTTTATATTGATACGCCACCACATGCCGGTGGAGAACCGCAAATTTGTCTGTGTGAACAGCCCCCAGTTTTTGTTGATCAGTATTAGTACTGTTCCGTGCCAAGTCTGAAAGATGAATGCATTCAGAATACTTTTCCCAGCATAATTCCTTAAGACCTCACAGGAGATGATAAGAAAACAAGGTTGTACACGGGTTTCATTATATTACGGTCAAAAAGGAATCATTCAAAGGGCCTTAGGAATTGGTTAAGTCTGGCTCAAGGCACATTCCAGAAAAAAGAGACTGGAAGAAAGGGAAGGGCTACATAAAAATGAAAAAAAAAAATCATACGGAGTTCAACATATTTAGGATGTTAACATGATTTAATAAATGCAAATATTGAAATGAATTATATATAAATTGTTGAGTATATGTTTTAAACGTGCCAATTCAATTTTGTAAAAGTATTCTGTTTTATTTGGGTAGTCACTGCCACCTGCGGTACTGCAGAAGAGGCAATTGTTAGAATTGAAAGACATTTCCCTGTAATTTAATGTAGTAGGGCAGCTGAGGGACCAGTTGGAACATTGGCAAGGGTCAAAATGAACACCCCTATGGTGAGAATGGAGCAAGGAGATATGACACCGCATTTAAAAGTCTTACAGGCGAGTCGGCAGATGAATGTCTCCAGATATTTTGAAGGAGACAAGATGACCTCAGGAAGCTCTTGTATTACATTATCTTATATGAAAAAGAGGTCAGCCATAACCAGGACTTAGAGACAAATAAATCAGTAAAGGAATATGACTGTTAAAAAGTTAGTTTATTAATAAATCAAGAAAGAAAGGAATTAAGAATATGAGTTTGTGTATTAGTTGAAGTAGATAATGTCTAGTAGATTTGTATCGAGTTGATTGAAGCATTTATTGTAAATGAGTTGCTAATTATCTATTAACTATTTCAATCTTGATTGAAAATTATGTGACATTCAAAATTACCGCAACATAGGCGTCGGAAGCAAATTAAAAGGGAGGGGGGGGGGGTTACTAATCTTAACCTCAATTTTAAGTGCCTGAATTATGTCTATCTTTGCAAAAAAAGTGGCCCCACCGGTTCCGACGC